TTTCCAACCCTGAGTTGATAAGGACGTGGCTTTTCTATATAAAAACTTACCCTGAGAAATATTCAGCTTTGCACTTGGGATTGAATGCCCAGTGAACTCTCTGGCTGGCTACAAAGGCTTTCTTTTGGCTATACACAATGTCTGAGTGGTCTTCTCTGGTGGGTTACCCCACAACATTTGTTTGGTTCTGTCAATTGTCCATCTGCAACAATATGAGGAGATAAAGTTGCCCTAAGACTGCTCTGAAGTCCATGCTTAAGCATTTTAGAGATGGTTTGCCAGACATGAATGAGAATGGCATCTATCTCTCACCTGGAAAAGTCTGGATAGTCTATGAGCTCAAATGGTCAACTTGCAATGTGGAGTGGCCCAGTGAAGGGAACATAGATGTCCAGATGGACTGTGGTCTCTAGAACGCAGTCCTTGGAGACTCTGGACATCCTGATAATTTTCCCTACATGGACAGTTGGCTGTCCCTGATTCTGAGTCCTCCACCCTGGCTTAAAACATGTGCTCCCTCTTTAGGCACTCATATTTTCCTACTGTGACCTGAGAATAGGAGGCAGGGAAAGTGAAAGAGCCACTAATCCTCTTGATCCCATCAGAGGAGAAAAACTTCCCTCTGCCCTATGTACTCAGCCAACTCCCACCCAAGTGAAAGGCTGGAAGGTCCTCAAACAGGGACTGAGTCTCCTCCACCTCTGGACCCTTCTCTCTCTCCCATATGTGAAGAGGCTCCACTTACGGAGAAGCAAGATGGGCTCTTGATGAGACTGAAGAGGCAGCACTTATCCTTCCTCTAAGGGAGGCCCCGTCCATGGGACCTTGGCAACAAGAGCCTGTAGGAACATTGAACTCCTACCAGCAGAACCCCAACACATTTATGGTTTGTGTCCCTTGTCAGAATCCTCCTTTCTCTGAAAAACTGAAGACACTCATAAGTCTCCTTGAGACTGTTTTCTATATTCACCAGCCCACTTGGGATGATTGTCAACAACTCCTGGCCACCCTCTTCATGGCAGCAGAGTAAGAACAGATCAGAGAGCAGAAAGTTTGCTGAAGCCTGGGTCAGCATCTCTCCCTGACAGTGGTGCCTGCATAAAGCATATTTTCTCTTCTGAGAGACCTGAATGGGACTCCAATACTGACTGAGGTAAGGTAAGGGGGATCTGGACAACTTTCTCCAAATCCTTTTTTGGAAGGATAAAGGCAGCTTCCAAGAGGCCCACAAATGTTTCTAAAGTAAGAGAAGTGATTCAAGAATTCCCTCTGTATTCCTGGAGCATGTCCAGGAGGCTATTGAGTGACAGGGAATAAGGGGAATAAGGTCTTATACCCCTGGGAGGGATTCTGTGAATGAATTTACAATGCAAAAGAGACATCCACCCTGGGACCATTGGGCCACATTGGAATCTTTATCTACTGGTTCCCCAAAGGCCTACAGTCCATCATCTCCTCATGCACTTTAAGGCATCCATTGCACCAAGGAGGGCAGCTCAAATCACCCCATCCCAAAACCCTAAAACTGCCCCCTACATGCTAGAATGTTAGCAAAAGTCCACCAGCTCCTAAGTGATTCGTAGCTGAACCTAGCTCAGGAATGCTGGTTGTACTTGAATCCTCAACACCCTTATTATGTAGGTTTTGGACTAAACAAGACCCTCCCTCCCTCTAACAATCTAGTAAGTTGTGACTGGAACCACCCCTGAGTTACCCTAGGGGATCTATAAGGTCAAGGGACCTACATCATGTCATCTAACTCTAATCTTGACACATCCCCCTATACTGGGATGTATTAGTTACTTTTCTGTTGCTGTTATAGAAACACTGACCAAAGCAACTTATAGAAAGAAAAGTTTATTTGAATTTTTGGTTCCAAAGGGGCATGAGTCCATCATGGCAGGGAAGCATTGTGGTAGAGGTAGCTGGAGGAGGAGCAGAAACTAAGTTCTCACATCTTCAAGTCAGCACAGGAAGCAAGGGAACAACTCAAGATTCTGCAAGATTTAAGAATTCTCTAAAGCCACCCCCAATGATGTGCTTTCTCCTGTATAGCCACACCATCTAAGACCTCCTAAAACAGCACCACCAACTGGGGACAAAATGTCCAACTACTTGGAGCCTATAGGGGACATTTTCATTCAAACCACTACATGGGGCAAGCAACAGTAATCTGTGCACCAACCCCAGCACAGAGCAGTGAATTTTCTTCCAAGCTCCAGAAACTACCTGACTGGTATGTACAATGTGTTAACTGAATATACATCCCCTGATAACTTTGAGAGTAAAAGAGAGGGTTGTTCTCTGTCTACTGGCCCATTTGCTTCCACTGATATACATCTACAGTGGGGAGGAGGGACGAGTCTACCTCAATTTGGATCCAGGACTATTCCAAACCTGAAGAGCAGCTCAAATTCTAGTCCCCCTCTTTGTAGGGGCAAAAATTGCAGGGTTAGTGACTATCAGAACTTAAGCCCTAATAGTAGGAATCAAAAACTTCAGGGAACTTTGTGCCCAGATAGACATGGACCTAGGTCACCTAGAAAATTCCCTTTCCAGACTTGAGATTCAGATGGACTTACTAGCAAAAGTAGTGTCACAAAATCTCAGGGGCCTAGACCTCATCTTTATGAAAAAAAGGGGTCTCTGCATGGCTCCAAGTGAGATCTCCTACTTCTATGTGAATCAGTCTGGGGTCATCAGGAAAAGCTTAATATTAATTAAAAATAACCTAAATAAACAAAAACAACAACAACTAAAAGACATAAGTCCAACAACTGGTATCAATCCTTATTTTCTTGGTCTCCACAGGCTCACCACCCTGCTTACTGCTTTGGCAGAGCCAGTGGTCCTCCTACTCCTGGTGCTGACAATTGGGTCTTGCATGATCAACTGAATAGCTATATTCAAAAAAGTTTTAATTTAGTGAAACTGAGGATTCTAAGGGGGCAGCATAATCCCCTGTCTCAATATGAGTCTATGATATACTCATGCCCGTAGAACCAGAGGGAAGTATGGTGGGGCACTGTAGTACTGACTGTAGCTATACCATGTAATGGCCCTAACCAGCCCTATCCATTGAAACTACAGACAGTTAAAGTGTGGAAATAGAGAAGTTTGACCCTTCTGCAACAGGATATAGGGTTTTTTTTTTAATTGGGGGGGTGTCAGCAGGTCCCTGGTTACTCTGGACAACTGCTTTTCAGTAGCATCTGTATTTTCTGCTTGGCTTGCACATGAGTGAAAAAATTATTGGGAACTGGTCCACTCCTGAACTGATAAGGATGTGGTTTTTCTATATAAAAAAAAAAACTTTCCCTGAGAAAAGCTCAGTACTGCACTTAGGATCAAATGCACAGTGTAGTCAGTGGCTGGCTATAAAGACTTTCTTTTGGCTATATTCAATATCTGAGTGGTCTTTGCTGGTGGGTTACCTCACAACAATTTATAATTTATTATTTTTTTATTTTATGTGAATGAGTGTATTGCACATGTCGTGCAATGCCCACAGAGATCAGAAGATGGCATCGGATTCCCTGGGAACTGGAGTTAAGGATGGTTGCTAGCCACTATGTAGGTGCTGGGAATTGAATCTGGGTCTTTTGTAAGAATAGCCACTGCTCTTAAACTATGAGCCATCTCTCTAGCACAGGTAGAAGTTTCTTTACAGTGATTTTGCTTTGATGAAATTGAGGTATGAATCAAATGAATACTAGCAATAACAAAGGATGAACAGTATGCCTGTACCTCAATCTATGTAGAGAAAGAACTTCATGATTTTGTGGTCAGTTATTTTCTTACTAGCCATTAGTATCAGAAAATATTTGTAAAGCCTTAGCCAATTTGGCTAATTATGACCTCTGTGAGTTGAGCCTCCAAAGCCATATAATTATATATAATCACCATGTACCTCTAGTCCTCTAACTCCCATTCAGTGAGCTCCAGATCTGTGCCTCACACTCTCATGATTATCCGCAGGAGGAGCTCTTATTTAAGACTGTATTTGTATAAAATCTGATGACAAATCTTCACATTTACTTCAGCATCCTGTGACTGGTGAGCATCAGATCACCTACACAATTGTGTCATGAGCTACCACATACTCAGTGAGAATCAGTAAGTTCTAAGGGAGAAAGACAGAGGAATGACTAAGATAGTATTGTTTCTTCAACATCAGCAAATGCATGCACTTTGGGAGATATATGGGCATAATAATATTCAATATTTATGTATGAGAACTCTATGTTCTCATAACTCATTCATATTTTGCATTCTTCCCCCACTGGTCCTACATCCCATAAGGATCTCACCCAGGATAGCAGAAAATAAGTCCACATGAACTGTTAACTAATCACTGTAGGAAGCTTATGAAGGTGACTGTAAGAATAAGAGTCATGGCTGTAAGACATGAACTGTTATTTACGGATTTCTGAGTGTCATCCTCAGAGCTTTGTGTTCTATGCTTATCATCTTATTCCATCTGCACAATCTTCTCTGTTAGATAAGAAGGTGGCAGGGGTCGGGATTGCCACAAAATAGAAACAAAAGGGACTCTGGCAAAGCGAGAGTTTAATTGGGTTTGGCGGGGCTGGTCTTCAACTTAGGTGTGAGGAAGAACCGGCAGCCTAATGGCTACGGAGGGGTAGCTTATAAAGGGTCAGAATGTGGAAAAAGAGAATATTTTTCTGCTGTTTGGGAATGTTTGGGGGGCTGCTTGCTCAGGGAGGGTGTGGGGTCTGTACCTGGTGAAACTTATCAAGGAAAACATCTACTGTAAAACTTGTTTTCTACAATTACGGGTTCCAAGAACTAAATGCAGCTAAGGGCTTGGGAAACCTGTTTGTCAGCCTGTGGCGTATACTCTGGTGATCACAATACATTGGTCATTAATTTCCCAGAGCTACTTTTGTTAACTTGCAGGTGGCTGGGAGTTGGTTGACTCAGTTCCTCTTTAGGGGCCTTATGGTTTCTGGGTCTGGGGTCGACTGGATCTGAACCTTATCATTCTCCAGGTCAAAAGTGCCTTGATATAATTACATTTCTAAAAAACAAAAACATTTTTTTATGTAAGCTGTGCTAGCTTTTTGTGAGTTCACACCCCTGAATTCGTGTGTGAACTGAAGAATCATCTACAGACACAGGACATGAGGTCAGGAGAACTCTGGCAAATTGCCACTTTTAGAGCTCAAACACTAATATTTTCTGTCTTTCACTCCATAAGAAGTTTCCTTCTTTGTTGTGATGTACAGTTTAGGGGTTTCTAGTTGGTAACAGGATAGAGAAGTGGGTGACACCTGTTAACAACTATTACAGAAGAAAAGCTGATATTGTTAGAAAAGATCACAGAAAGAGAAACATACCTGGAAGCTGTGTATATCCTTTGGCATTCTTTTTCTTTCATTTTTAATTGAATTTTTGTGATTTTTCATACAATATATTTTATGGTATTTATGTCCCTTCCCCTATATACCCCTCCCTTTACTAACCCTTGCCCAATTTAATATACTCTATTATATACATAAGTATATAATAAATCCTATAGAGTCTGATTTGTCTCCCCAAATATCCTTCAGTGTGGGTTCATCCACTGGAGCATAGTTAATCTCTCAAGAGTCCCATCCTTGAAAAATGCTCTCACTCCCCCTTCCCCACAGCCATTGGCTGCCAATAATATGTTGGGCAGGGTTGGGGTTTCTTATCCACTTTACGGTGTCTGTGCTGGGATTTTGTCTAGTTTGAGCTTGCATGGGACTTATTTGTGCATGCTGTCACCATTGCTGTGAGTTCATATGAGTAACTGACCAGCTGTCTAGAAAACAACTATATTTCCTTGTGGGCTCTAGTATTCTTATAATCTCCCCCCTCCATCTCTAGAAAATACTTAATGTCTGGTCATGACTTAATTATTACTCATGGTACTGTAAATGTTTAAAAATGCATCTGAACTAGACATATGGTTAGGTCATTTGTACGTCTTTAAACTTTCTAATTGTTCATCACCTATGAAAAAACATGGTCCATAGTTCCTAGAGACTAACAATTTAACTTGGAGTCATGTCGAACAAACTTTGTACTTCTCTTAAAAAGAGCAGATGCAGAGTCAGGCATGGGAGTACATGCCTTTAATCCCAGCACTTGGGAGGCAGAGGCAGGCAGATCTCTGTGAGTTTGAAGCCAGCCTGGTCTACATAGTGTGTTCCAGGTCAGCTGGGGGTACAGGAAGATCTTGTCTCAACCCCCCCCCCAAAATGCTAACATAGTGACACTTGACATTATTAGCTGAGGTTACTTCCAATTGATAAAACTGAACTGTGTTATGATGGAACAGAAATGGATGCTATCTGTGTGACTACTGTGTCATGAATGCATACCATAAGGGCAAATAAAAATTGAGTAATATTAGTATTAATGGTGAAGTTAATCTTCCTCTCAGTCATGAAAAATACCCTGTAACTGGAGAATACTATTGTTCTATTTCTGTCACAGGACATAGTTTTGTTTCTATATAGTGATATGGTGTGTACTTGACAAGAAAAGACTGGCTATCTTTTGTTCTCATTCTCTAGAACTTATGCTGGCATGGGGGAGACATCCAAGATTTTCTTTTTATCACGTTAATTATTGATACTTTCTTGACTCAAAAATTGGTTTCAAGCAATGTGGTTTCAACACACTGTTTCCTGTCTGCTTTTTTACCCCTTTCAATAATGTTCCAAAGAACTGGAGACAAGATGAAATCACTACTTTTCATATATTTATCTTGGACACTATTGCTTTAGTGACCACCATTGAAAACACTCAGATATCTAGGTTTTATCACAGATATTTTCATCTGTGTAAAAAAGCATAAGAGAAGCACAGTAAGATGGTGCTCAGGTTATCCTGAGTGAGAACAATTTTACGCTTTCACATCATTCTAAGCATTCCAATTGTTTGACAAATATTCACAAATAAACTCATTGATTCAAAAATGATTGAATTCTTCATGCTATAAATCACATATTTATTAAGTTCCAATCTTAGATGACCTGGCACATATGTGTTGATGTAGGTGGTGTCTCTCTGTATTTTCACTAAACAATATGAGCACACAGTAGTGATCATTTTACATATGTAGTGCAGGTTGCAGCAGATAAACGATATGTGACTAAAATGTTCACTCACTTCTGGAATCTTATCTGGGAGCACTGCCTCCTTTACCAGAGTCAAATGGGAATATTGTTCTACCTTATGAAAGATGAAATTCCTTTTTATCTTGAAAAGGCTATTGCTACATGAAATGAAATAAATTCATTCTTCCTGTAAAGAAAGAATAAGAGAATGTTGTGAATAGCTTCTGATATTTTTGTTCGATTGACAAATGAACCCTAAAATTTAAACGTCAATGTATAAAAGTGAATGTGTCAAACAAATATCCTTAACTCACCTAATTTTGTGGTTCATAACTGATGAGATATGGATGGGGATGGAAAATTTTTGAAAGAATTGCTTTAAGTTTGGCAAATTAAGTGACATCTTGCTGCCAGGTAGTACTGTTCATCAACTAAATAATGTAAAATCGCTGTATGTACTTCACAGACCATTAGATCCCCATGTAGATGCAGATTAGTAGACATAGAATGTTCGATATCAATCTGCTTTTTTTCCCCAATCATTTCCTGTCCATAGATGTCCAAGCTATATAAAAACATACAATCTAACACGTATCTCACAATTCCATCTCTTGGGATTCTCAGAGGATTCACAACTGCAGCCCATCCTCTCTGGACTGTTCCTGTCCATATACCTGACCACAGTGCTTGGAAACCTGCTCATCATCCTGGCTATCATCACTGACTCCCACCTCCACACCCCCATGTACTTCTTCCTCTTCAATTTATCTTTGACTGACATCTGTTTCATCACCACCACAGTTCCAAAGATGATTGTGGATATCCAAACTCACAGTAGGGTAATCTCTTATGTGGACTGTCTAACACAAATGTCTCTTCTTATTATTTTTGGATGCATGGATGACATGCTTCTGACTGTGATGGCCTATGACCGGTTTGTGGCTATCTGTCACCCCCTGAATTACCCAGTCATCATGAACCCTCATCTCTGCATCTTGTTACTTTTGGCATCCTGTTTCCTTAGCTTTTTTGACTCTCAGCTGCACAACTTAATTGTTTTACAGTTTACTTTATTTAAGGGTGTGGAAATTTCCAATTTCTGTTGTGAACCTGCTCAAATCCTTAACCTTGACTGTTCCAACTCTTTTGCTAAAAACATAGTCACATATTTTGTTAGTGCAATATTTGGTTTTTTTCCCATTTCAGTAATACTCCTCTCATACTGTAAAATTGTTTCCACTATTCTGAGAATCCCATCCTCAGGTGGGAAGTACAAAGCCTTCTCCACCTGCGGTTCACATGTATCAGTGGTTTGCTTATTTTATGGGACAAGCATTGGCATGTACCTCAGCTCAGCTGTATTACATTCTTCCAGAAAGAGTGTCATGTCCTCAGTGATGTACACAGTGGTGACTCCTATGTTAAATCCTTTCATCTACAGCCTGAGAAACAGGGACATTAAAAATGCTCTTAGGAGGCTCCACAGGAGAAAAATCTAATGTCAGGACCTCTGGCATCCACTTGGAATATAGATGAGAGAAGCAATCAACACTAAAATTCTGTACTTTACTTGCTGAATAAATTATGATTATTGTATAATGGTTTCACTCTCTCATTATGTGTCATAACAGAATAGTAGTTGAAGGAGTTGTGCCATGGTGGAGTGGAGTGCGTTTAAAATTGTGCAGAGTTTATATTTGGGAACATAAAAAGGCTTGGATATAGAAGACAATGATGTATGCTGAATTGCATGAATGCAATGAATGCTATTGATGTGCACACTGAAAAACTGTCAATACTCTATTCTTGTTATATATTAAATATTACCTCAATATACAAAGGAAATTGAAAAGTTTTGATCTTTTTAAAAAAGAATGATTTATGTGTTTCTTATTGAACATAATTACAGAGGAAATAAAATGTGGGCATTTATTTTCCTTTCTCCTTCCCCATTACTATTAGTAAGTCCCAAAAGATTGAGGTAATATGGAGACTATAGGATGACTGAATTCTGCACTGATCCTTTGAAGTTTCATGATGGTAATCAGCTTGGGCTTTCATCTCTTTGTTTTGCTAACTCCATATTTGTGCTGGGTCATCATGGATGTCTACTTGGAAAGACTCCTATATAAGACTCTTTATACCAATATTTTTTTCTTTATGTGAGTATTTTAAACAGAGCCTGAGCCTTCATTGGCACTTCACAAAGTAGGCATATTGATACCTAATTTCTTTTACTGAGTCAACTGAAGCCAAGTAATCCAAGAAGTGTAGAGGGAGACCATGGATGAACAAAAGGATATGTTTCTTCACTGTTGCCTAATCACATCAAGGAGGCAAAGAGAAAACTAGATACCAGAATAAAGAATAACAATATGCAGATTTTTGCTTAAGAAGACTAGGAATTGAGGAGTTTTGTTATATTTGTCATGACAAAATCCACAGTCAAATTTTGCTTTCTCTATCTTTGTATCTATTTCTCATGGACATCTTCTGCCTGCTGTGATCTTCCCCAGCAATGTTCCTGCCTTGGGCCTCAGGAGCCCTGATTCCTCAGGACATACTGCAGTCACTTGGCAGGGGGCACTCTCTCTCCCCCTCACCCAGCACTACCAGGAATGACCACACAGGAGCCGACTTCACCCCTGTCAATTAATCAGTCTTTAAAGGTGTAACTTTTTTCAGGAAATTTGTTTAAAGCATTATGTCCTCCTCCAAATCCTTTCTATTGATCAAATTTCCCACAAAGCTTTAAAAATATTTTATTGTGTTTTTGTGCATTTTATATAATAGATCGATTAATAGACCCTGTCCCCTATCCGCACCCCTCCCATATTCCCCCATTGGATTTCATCCATTCTGTCACATATATTAAGTCCTATCCAGTCAAGCATTTGTACTCAGATGTCCCTTGTTGAAAGTTTATCCACTGGAGTCTATTCAGCCTATGTTGAATCACTCCCTTAAAGCAGAATACTCTCCCTCACTCAACTGTAATCAGTTGTCAATAGTTCTTTTGCTAAGGTGTGGCCTGCTGCTTATTTCCTTCATTCTATGTGGGTTTTTATTGGCTGAGTCAGCATTGGTCTTGTGCATACTGACACCATTGTTATAAGTTCATGTGAGCAAGCTCTCAGTGGTCTGAAAGCCTGTTTCCTTTTGTTGCAACAACCCTAGCTCTTACAATTTTTCCACCCTGCAATGTTCCCTGAATCATGGGTGGGTGAGGTTTGATATAGGAGACTTATCCAGGAGTATGCACTCTATAGTCTCTTACAAAACCTTTTGCCTTAAAATATCCTTGACTTATTATATTTCAGATGGGTTTTTCAGTTGTTTATTTTTCCTGATTAAATTTTTATGTGTGTAATGGAATCAATACATTTTTATGACAAACTAAAAAGATAATAAACCTGCACAGTAAAAGTTTTGGATCTTGATATCCTTTTGCATGACTTATTAACTGACAAATATTTTAAAAATTGGTGAATGGAAAATGTTATAAAATTTCCATCAAATTAATACACTCAGTTATTCAATTCATGGGATGATTACAGGCTGGCTTGTCATTTCCAACTATTATACCTAAAGCCTGACATCCTATTATTATTAATTTAAAATACTATTTCTTTACTATACCTCTGATGCCACAAGATCATTAAAAACCCTCTAATTTACCTTTCATCTCCTCTCATCTTGTCTCATTTACCATTACCTCTATATGAAGGCTCCAACAACTAGATATCAATCAAAGGCATGCTTAACAGCCCCAGTGTTTGTCAGTTCTATGTAAGTGCAGACACAGCACCCATTTAAAAAACATTTCCACAGGCTTATACTATTCTTCTTAGAGCCCCTATCTTATATTCTTTACAAAATACATTTAATCTACTTAAGTCCTATTTACAAAGTACTGGTCTTTCTGTTGCTCCTAAGAAGATACAGTGTGATACAGCACTTTCATATTTGGAAACTGTAGGATACCAGAATGCCAGGCTCTAGGGTGAGGTGAGCCTAAAACTTATAGGTCCAGGCTGCATTCTCTGCTAAATGGAGGGGCACTGAAAACAGTGGCTCTGATAATCCCTGTCCTGCAGAACACTGCTAGACTGGCAGGAGGAAGTGGCCTGGTCATAAAAGTGCAGGCTCCCTGCTCCATGGGACAGCGTCTTGGTCAACAACTCTTAGTTCATCTCCTTGTCCTGAACAAATAACACAGCTGTCCCTGGCTAAGAGGTTAGGCCAGGTTAAAGGTTTACTCCTGAGCTAAAAGCTAAAGGTTCACCATGCTTTTAGCTCTAAGAAAGAAAACATGTGGCCAATAAATTACTGGATGGGCATTGATAACCTTGAGTAAAAGTTTAGGAACCCTTATGGCCCCAACTAACAGACCAAATGTCCTGTTTCTTTCTACCCTAAATCTTTGTATGGGACTGTATATCCCACATGACTGCTAGTTCTTTGGGATGTATAAAAAACATCTGAATTTTAAAATAAATTGTCATATTGGGAAGACTCAGGTCCCAGAGTTTATGACTCTGTCACCAATCAGACCCTCTGCCCCGAAGCCAGCAGGTCCCCCACTAAGCAAAGTGAACCTGAGTCCCAGCAGGAAACCAAGATTGATAATAACCACATTATTCCACAAAAGATTCAAATTGATAATAATTTAAATTAAAAAGTCTTCATTATTTTCAAGAACTGTTAGGAGATATTAACTGACTTACACGATCTTAGTTATTTCTATTTATCAAATTCAATGTTGATTCCAAATCCTACACGGTAATTCTAATTGCAACACTCCATCCCTAAAAGCTCAAAAAATTATTGTGGACAAAACAACAAATACAAAATGTCTACTTAACTCTGGTTGATCCTGTGTTGCCTGTTACCTTACTCACGTCTTCTATTTCCCAATCTCCTACAGGACTGCTACTGCAAAATAAAGGATGGGTTCCATGGACTTTTGTTTTTTACTCAACATTTCCAATAAAAAATTGGAAACATACCTGGAAAAGATAGCCAAAATTATCTCTCACAGAAGGTGATGGTTCCAAGGAATGATATGAATTGACCCTCACTCTATAACGCTTCCCATATTTAATAATAAAAAAAATTCTTGAAAAATTGTTCTTTCTTATTTTCTTTTTTTTTAAACTTGCCATTATTCCAAAAGCAAATTATTTTTTTTCTTATGCTCTACAAATTGGGTAATTCTAAAAAATATTCCACAATGCTCCTGTCACTGACACACCTTTTCCACTGTTCTTGAGATTCAACAACCCATACAGGGCCTAAAATAAAAACTTTATACACATCATATAAATCTACACAAAGTAAATTGTTTGCTGTTTGTCTCTTTGAGCAGGGCGTGATGGCACACACCTTTCATCCCAGCATTCAGGAGGCAGAGGCTGGCAGAGTTCTATGAGTTCAAGGTCAGCCTGGTCTACATAGTGTGTTCCAGGCCAGTTGGGGCTCCTGTCTCAAAAGGACGAAAAAAAATGTTTGCTGTTTGTCTCTTGCTGACCATTGTAATCAAATTTATTAATATTGTGACAGATTCAAAAAGTACATTATTACACCACTGCCATTATTAAAAATTACACCATTGTCTTAAATAACCCTGTCTCTGAACTTTTTCTTTTTTCTTTTTTTTTTTTTAGGGGGAATCAATTTCTCCTTGTAGCCCCAGCTGGCCTGGAATTTTCTATGTAGACCAGGCTGGCCTCAAACTCACAGAGACCTATCTGCCTCTGCCTCCAAAGTGCTGGGTTGTGCCTCCACAACTGATTCTGAACTTTCCTTATAGGCACAAACTTTAATGAGACAACAGAGACAGCCAATGTAGGTCAGTCACATTCCTTCACAGTCTGGTTTTCAGGGGCTGCTATCTCAAAACAATAAACAAAATGACCAACTAATATACGTTGTGACCACGAAAGAGGTTCAACATTTGCATGTTTTAAGGCACCCCCCTTCATTCTTCTTGTGCCATAAATTTTCTCTAATATAATCATAGGCATAAAACAGTCACCTCAAGCCCCTCTTATGTGCATTTCATACTCTTTCATTTTCAAAATGAGCAAACCCAGAGTCTTCAACCTAATAAAATTTAACAGATGGATGTAACTCTTGTCCCCACTTTCAGATGTCTCTGATATTCATGTTACTGTTGGTACATTCTCTGTGTTTACATGGGCCACTGCCCAAACTAGAAAAAGAACACTCATGTTATCACTCATATGCTAACTACTCTTATTATCTAGGCTTTCCTCATAGTACTAAAACAGAAAATGCTCCACCTTCACTAGTGCCCACTTTGCTCGCTTTTAACTGATTGGCATAGTTCCCACACCAGGATCTGATACAGTCCTCAAGTCCTGGGTATTGTAAAACGGAAGAATCACACTTTCAAATTATAGCTATCTAGTTGGGGCGAGGCCAGACTTGCTGAGGTGAAGCAGTGCCCAAGTTTGGGTGGGCTGGACCTTGTAGG